AAAAACACAATCGCACAGTCAGTAAGTCATTACGTATGTGTGTTGTGTATGTGTGCGATTAGATTTAAATGCTTGCCACCCACCCTTTCTGAATAAGGGATGTTATAAATCCCTGCGAAGAGCCGGGCAGTGCTCACAATGAAAGCAAAGTGCCTGATGGGAACAGAGGAGAGTTTAAAAGCCAATATCTGAGTATATTTAGCTTATCGGTTAGCAGAAGGGCATACTTACAAAGAGTCTTTCAAGTCAAATTCAAGAGGTGTTGGTGGTCTTTTTGGAGACTGCCAAAACAAACCTGAGGAATTGGGAGATTTTTCACTAAATACTTTTACGTGCCATTAATAAATTAGCTATACCCGTTAATTTGCTTGACAACTTGATTCTGGTTTCCATCTGATTATTTAACACTTACTTCCATCTTTTAACCTTGTGTCCAGGGGGAAAGAGTGCAGCAGCTGTAGGGCCTACATGAAAACAGCAGTAAAGTGAAAAAACCGAAAAGAAAAAAAAAACCCCAAACAAAACATAATCGTAAACCACACAGCCCCTTCGATAGGAATGTGTATTTTCATTACCTTTCTCTTGAAATATTTCTCAAATTTCAGACGAGCAACAGCGACGCATTGTTCCCACTGAGTGGGCTGTCTGCTCAGCAGCTTTATGACCTGGAATGACCCTTCCAGACTTTCCCCTGCCTGCATCCTCTACACAGACAAACACACAATCAAAGTTGTTTTTATTGATTAAACAGCTGCACTGCTGGGGTGATTTTCATCAGTGAAAACTGCACTTGTGCCTTACCTGCAGCACCACCTCAGCCGAGGAATGGGTCTGCCAGAACGAGTTGTACATGGAGGGCTTGTGGACAAAGGCACTCTCAAACTAGAAAGCCAAAAATTTAAAAAATAAAATAAAAATTAGGAAGTACACTCAGACTTTCAAAACAATAATTTGCAGTGTGGAAAAAAAAAAATACTGTTGGGTCTTTCAGCTGCCTGACCTTATCTCTGGCCCACTGGATGGTGTGCTCTATAACAGAAGGAAAAGACTTGAGAGTGCAGAATGGGATCTCCTCTTCTGGGGGGTCCCTCTGGGAGGCAGAAGAAAAGCGATTTTAGGTTGGTGACGGGACTGCACATGTCCAGCACAGAAAACCAATAACATGAGCCTCTTCCACAGACTCACATGGCTATTGTAAGACTCTGTCAAGTTTGGCACAATGATTTCGGTGTGCCCTTTAGTTCCCATGGTGCCAGAGTCTAGGAGAGGCCTCTGATTGGATACACAGCGGCTGAAAATACATAAGTTACAAAAAGGAAAAACTCTTTTTAAATGAGAACAAATACTTTATTAAACTGCAACTTCTAGATTCATGTCATGACAATGGTAATCATGAGGTCAGGGGTCACAATAATCACACATGGATTCTGCTTCACTTTGGTTCATTGAACATCGAATACTGAAGTGAATGAAGTGAAGCTGTTCATCGTTACAATGTCTTCACCAACCTGTCCACATATCTCCGTGCCTCTACGTTGTCCAGCGCAGTGACCACTATGTTTAATGAAGAGTAGAATGAGTCATTGTAGATGTTCTCAGTAGCCGGACACACCTTGTTGAGGTGAGCTTCCACCTGTAGGTCTGGGTTTATATCATGAGTAGCCTCTGCTGCTGTGGTACTTTTGGGTTTCTAAAGCAGAGAGGAAACAGATGGCTTAAATGCAGCAATGCGCTGACCAAGCCCGAGCCTGACCGGTGCAGAAATGCACGTCTATTCACCTGTATATGATGTGGCCTGAAGAGAAACTGCCTGTTGAGGTTAGACTTTTCTATGAGGTCTGGGTCTGTGATGCACACCTGAGAAGTTAAATATGCAAATGAAATTCCAGTAAACTTTTCACAGTGAGGTAAAACTTAGGTAAATGCATAAAGAATAAATACCCACCTCCCCTGAGTTCTTGGCCAATCCAATTCCAAGCAGGGCAAAGTTTTTCAGCATCTCACAGCCTATTGCTCCACAGCCAACCTATAAAATAATTTATTTTGGGGTAAACTAGCATGATTCAATAAAAACCTTAAACACATTGAGAACTTCTAAATCTTACCATAAAGACCCTTAGCTTGTGTAGTTGTAAACACAGTGAGTCACCAATGCAAGCTCGTAATCCATCATATCGATCACCCCTAGGGGAAAACTCCTCAGCAGAAAGAGGCTGAAGTGGCTTGACTACCTCAATAGCGTCAAGATAAAACTAAAAATGCGATAAAACAAAACAAAACAAAACAGGATAATAAAACATTTTCTTTCAGGGTTGGAAAACGGTGAGCTATAAAACCACAGCTTCAAATTTAGTGACCTACCCATTGCTGCAGGGGTGCAAACTTCCCTGTGATGGCCTTAAGAACTTCCTGACTGGCTAAACCTCCAACAGCTGCTGCTAATGGAGGGAGAGCACCCCTTGCTGTCCTTGAAAGGCAGCGTACTAGCTCAGTATTCACAGAAGCCTGGGAGGAAGGAGTCACAGAGGAGAGGAAAAGAGAGTATAATGTTATCACACCAGTGTGCATGCAGTCATCTGTCAGACAATGAGTGGCTGCCTTTGCAGTGATGAAATGTGGAAAACAGTAAAGCTCACTTTGCTCTTGAGAGCTGCATTCACTTCCTCAGTCAGCTTTAGTAAAACCTCAGCATCCTGTAAACACCTGATGACATCAAAGAAAAGGCGCTCTTCAGTGCTTAGCAATCATATCGCACAGAGAAAGCAGAGCACAACATTAGACTGGAGGGTAAAAAGTACTGATCTGATATGGAAATTTTACTTACCCAGTGTTAGGAAGTCTACTGTGCTGCTCCTGGAAGGTGTCCAGTGCCAACATGCCAGCATGGATTTGAAGTGGGGCCTGAGAAGCAGATTTAAAACAGGACTGAAGAAATCGGCTTCTTAAACTCAAAGAAAAACAGGCATTTGTGAACTTGGCTAAGAAACACTGGGTCTACGTTAGTTTAACCTGTTTTGTAAACCTAGTTAAACATCAATGTGAAAGAAAGGGTATCTCTGCTCTGTACATGTTTCTATTGTTTAAACGTGAAGGCAGTATGTTTAAGCATGTGGGATACTGTCAGGAGAACCAACTGTGTAGCAAGAGAGCCATGGGAAAGTTTTGATCAGTTTCTAACTCACACTGTTCTTAGCCATGTGAGTCACGAAGCTGCAATAAAACGATGTTTAAATGTCACACTATTCCCCTCTGTAGGATATAAGTTTCTACCTAGTTTCCTCTTACCTCTGGTTTACTGAAGTCCGGAGTCAGGACCCGAGGTTCACACAGCTGTCGCTCTAATGTTTCCTGAAATAAATATTGTGAGTTATTGTTAGCATACACACAAGTGATGGTCATTTAAACATATCTGCATGATTTTAAATCATAACTGGACAACACTGTTAATATGAAAACTAGTCTACTTACAAATCTGTACATTTTAGGGGTTTTCACCATGACAAAGAAACCTCCATGTGTGTATGGTTGTAGCTGAGATGTGTCTCCTATTGCAAAGCTGTGAGAAGAAAGGACTATAACCCCACACACACACACACACACACACACACACACACACACACTTAATTAATATGAACATACATATAGAAAACAAGTCACCAAAGACATTGCCAGATACATTTTTGCATTTGCGTCCAGCAAAATAAATAAAAACACCAGTTTGAGTTTGTACAAATAATAACAATAATCTTGGAGACGCCGCTGTTATGCATTACAGTAATAAAATTGTAACCATAGTACCTGAAACCTGCCGAGATGTGCCGTTGAGCTCCACCATGCCACCGACCTCTCTGAAAACAACACTCTGCCCTGTCTGTAGGCCGTGGGGTTGGTTGTCCATGCAGGTTACCACCCCAGGATTATCCTAAAACAGTTTGCAGAAAAGTTCACCCAAAGTTCGCTCATTTACTGACTAAGCAGAAGATTAACAGGCAAACTTTACTGCAAATTGTAGGTGTTGAATTTTTTGAAGAAAAGCTGGAACAATTTATTTATCTGTCATTTTTTATTTTTTGTGGGGTGTGGTCGGGGGGAATACCTGAGTGATACTTTGAATGAAAACCTCCTTGGGCTCCTCTCCTGTGGGGTCGAACACCTCAAACTCTTCTCCAAAATCACAAAACACTCGTGCACAGATACCGTACACGTCACAGCTGATGAACTGAAGCAATACACACGCAACAGTTTTGGTTAATATTTACCCATCTGTGAGCTCTCGCAGTGCAACTGTAATGCATAAGCACAACAAGGAGAGCAGACTTACTCTGATAGGGGGTTGTTGTGAGTGGCAGAACTCATTTACTCTCTTCTGTAGGCTCAATCTGGCCTCAGTCAAAATCACACACTAGAGGAGGAAGCAGAGCAGACACTAAACATTACCTGGAGTCCATAGCAGACTATGCGGTAGAGAAGAAAAGCAGTTACGTACAAGCATTTTATTTGAAATTGAATGCCAGTTGGTGGCCAAATACATGATCGATATAAAAACGAGATCAACCCTTCGCGACTTGCTGTGCCGTTATGAAATGCCGACCTTTAGGTTCAACATTCCTTCAGACCAGGGGAGAAACATAACTAGAACATCTGTAAGAGGCAGCTGTGAAGTGAATCACACTGCTGGAGTAGCTTCATGAGTTTTATTGACATTCAGAAATGTTTCTCTATGATGAAATCTTTCTATTGGAAACTCTTGTTAAGCCACATTGGTCTTCAGGGAAGGGGCGGGTGTCTTCATACTTCTCTACACCTCATATTTTTAATCACTAGGGGGTTTCTGAGGGCGTGGGAGCAACCTATTTAAAAAAAAAAATGTCTGTCCTACTAACCATGGGTTAGCTTACAACCCGGAGTCTGAAAGGTAATGACTTACCTGGTACCTTCTGAGAAAACCGAGATCAGTGTTGTCGTCAAGAGCAGAGAAAGACATGTCAACGTGGACATAAGGGTTCAACTCTGCAACGTGAGGGCACACTGCCTCCACCCTGTGGGAGAAACACAAGGGAGTGGGTAAACATGAGAAAGTATCTGAGTAAGGATGCACCAGTCTCAATGTTTATACTACCTATCACTCTGATACCTACTCAGAGCTGTATCAGGTACGCACTGGTCAATCACAATTATATTCAGTTAAACTGAACTAAAATGTTATTCTTTATTTGGTACATTAGCACAACATGAAACTAACAAGAAAGGATCGTCACTTTGGTGGCTTTCACTGTTTGTGACCTAATTGTGATTTAACAGAAACCAAACAGTGATCAGCTGAGCTGATGACAACAGCAGACAATGGTGCTGTCCCTGTCAGTGTCACCATTTCTGTATCGTTGTGTAGTTTCCACAATTACAGACCGCACTAATCAAGTTGTAAAGTTTTTACAACTGCACAACTTGATTAGTGCAGTCCGTAATTATCTTGTGCAAGCAAGGAGGGTATGGTTAAACAGACATACACAGTAACAAAGGGGAGCAGCAATAGCTTAAATGTATCAATTCAATTTAAGCACAGACCAAGATGAAAGGAAACAAGTTCAAATTAATTAGGTTTTGATCTTGTTATTTTGTCATTTTAATAATGACTGTTTCACATAAAAAGAGAATGGTTTGCAATGTATTTATTCAGCAATATTATCAGCCCGCTCCTTTAAGGCATCTTCATGAGGAATGAATAAGCTACAATGGTGCATGCCTATTTAAGAGCGCAAGGAGAGTCCTGCCCGTGGGGTTCATTACCTCCTCCTCTGGCTCAAAACATCCTCTTTGCGGATAAAGAAGTTGGAGCCAAGATCCCAGGTCTCACACTGTTTTGTGTCATGAAGCGTGACTGCCTGTACACACAGAGGACAAACAGGACAATAGGTTCGAACAATTATGACTACAAGACCTTTGGACTTGCAAGATGCTGAGAATGACACATTGCTGTAATATTAAGAGAGCGCGCCTACCTTTACACCAGCCAGGACAATATTTTTTGCTGCGAAACCAAACCCAAAAGATTTAGAGTCATGTTAGAGTTCCTTGCATGGCTCATACAAACACCAAACCATTAAATATTGCCTACCTATCTCTACTCCCAGTCCTCCCATTCCACTGAGAAAGACTGAGGACTGGGCCATCTGGTGCATGGCACTGTCTCCAAGCACATATCGCTGGCGGCTAAAGAGTGAGAGAGAGAGATGAAGAGTCACTGTGAAGGAATGTGCTAGAAGGACGAATGGAAACACCACGAACAATAACGGCGCTGGTTGTAATATAAACCATTAAAAAGGCAAATTATAAGGATGGTGAGGCTTGCCTGTAAAGAGAGTCGTCAATCTCCATCGAGTCTGTAGCCATGGTGGGAGGGGAAGGGGGGGGAGAGCAAGTGCCTCAAAGATAGAGATGCTTCCTGTTAAAAATATAAATAGAGTAATTAACCTTGTCTGATTGAGCGATATAGATTTAAAACCAACGCCCTGCTGTTAATGAGCCGCACAGCTAACTAACTGTTGATGCCAGTTAGCTGTCAGCAACATGGTTGACCCCACCGAGCTGAGCTGACCTGAACTGAATTAACCAAGCGGCTTAAAAAAAGCCCGACATTAAAGGGGTTAATACACGTGCCTTAGTAAAGCTAGATGACTTATGAAGTTGCCGAAGCTCAACGCTAGCGGCTACAGCTAGCTAATGCTGCTGCCCGGTGCCGGTTACGGAGACACTTCTCATAAACTCATTAAAAGTGGCGACACAAACACGAGGCTACAAATAACTCCAGGGAGTAGACAAATGTTTAAGGAATAGTTGTTTCTATCAAGCAATATGTAAACACTGCTATAAATGTACTTAAAATTAGTCAGAATATCACACGCAGGTACCTGTCAGTAAGCCCAGCGAGCTGCAGCGAATGAATGGCTGTGACTGGTTAAAAAACTTGGAGTGTTTCCGGGTTAACGCACTCACGTGGCCAACGTCAACCAATCATTTCACGGAAACTTCTAGGACTATATTTGTGAATAAACGTTACTTATTTTGTGTTGTTGATAAAATAACACACATTTATGTTGATTTACTAGATTTCGGGTGACATTTTTCTAAAGAATAAAATTTCACCATTTTGTTTTCAGAGGTGTAATCTTGAGTTACCACCCATTTCTTTTTGCTTGCTTTTTAAAAAACCTAACACTGATCTATGACTCATTCAATAGCTAAAAGGCACCAAATTCAAGGATCTAAACGTAACAGACAACTTAGAAAAATAACAATTTTAAATGGAATCTTTAGACACTTTGTTACAAGCAGAACCCCCTCCCCCCTTCTCCCCCACAAAAACACAGGATTTATTTGCTGAAAACTTGGCATATCTGAACATGTTGTGCAGTGTGTCTTTAATAATATTGAAGAAACTGAGAAGTGGGAAAAAAACAAAATAAGTAAATTAAATTAACAATTTTTTAAAAAATAAAACAGGTAAAGCATCTAACAAACATCTGACACAGGTCCTGAGAGATGCTTCTGACTCTTGATTTAATAAATCTACTGTTCACTGTTTCAGTGGCTGTTACAGTTTTTTCTGAATGCTTAAACCCTAACTGTGATTCCTGTAGCACAATCTCTAAAACTATTCAGACTTATAGCAAAACCACTCACTGAGTTTGCAAAACTAAAAGCACAAAAACTGCTTTGCACTCAGTTTGCAATTTTGTAACACACACTTTGCAAAACCGTAGGCACAATTCACTGCACAACACTCAATTACCAAATTTCCAACACACTCCTAGCAAAAGTATACACATGTATGGCTATCATTAACACTAATTTGCCAACTGTCTGGCACACTTTCACATGTGAAAACTTTTTTAGATAATTAGTTCACTTTGCAATCAGCCTAAGCACTATAATACAGGTAAGCTGTGTGTGCGGAGTACAATGGAGGGAGCAGAAAGAGTGAGAAGTAGAGGAGGCCGAGGAAGAGGACGTGGAGGTGGAGGTGAAGAAGTAGGATGAAGAGGACGACAAGGACAAGGAGGAGCAAGAGGAAGACGAGGAGGGGGGAGAGGAAGGGTAGGAAGAGTAAGAAATAGAATTGCTGATGACATCAGAGCTACAATAGTGGACCATGTAATCAACCGTGGAATGACCCTGAGGGAAGTTGGCCAACGGGTCCAGCCTAACTCGAGCCGCTACACTGTAGCAAGTACCATAAGGACATTTTGAAATGAGAATCGGTTAGTACAGTCACTTTGCACAAAGATTTGTAGCACTGCCGTATGCCAATGAGAAACACACCAATACCATTGATGTAAAAATATTGAAATTGTTACTTTACAGAATTGCTGGACGAGCAGATGCTGGGGCAGAGGAAGCATGTTCACTGCAGACCAAGTAACCCATATAGTTATTATGGCGATTGCAAATAATCCTATACTTGGAAATAAACACTTGTGTTTGTTTTGATGTGTTTGAATAAACAGCAGTACTTGAAGTTTGGATCCCTCTATGCTTATGGATCTATGAGCTCAAACTGACATAGCCTACCTTGTGCACAGAGAAAGCAAAAGCCAGATGTGTTTTGCATTCATACCATCAGTGTGCAGTTGGCGCATTGTGTGCTTAGTAGATGATGGCTTGTGTGTACTGTTTGATACGGAAACACCATTTTTACAAAGGTGTGAGGAGTTAATCTAGCTGTGTTTGCTTTTGCAAGAGAACTACAATGTTTTGATTATTGGGTGACAGGTTTTCTTATCTGTGTGAAGAGTTTTGCAAAATTAGCCAATAGTTACAAAAAATGTGCCTAAGCAATCAGAAAAAACTGTAAGAAGCCAGTCTTAAGGAGGGGAAGCAGGGAGAAAAGCTCATCAGTATGTGCAGAAGAGGTCGGAAGAGAGGTAGAACAGTTAGTGTCTAAGTCAGTGTTTACAAATGATAAGTGATGGTCTGTAAAACACAGTGGAGACTCTGTCATGGTTTCAATCTGCACTTCAGACAGTTGTGTTGGGGATTTTGTCAAAACAAATTGAATTATCAACACACATTTTGAACAACTACCAACAGAAAAGCTCATGATTGGCAATGGCTAATGCAGTAAAAGCATACCTGGTTAGAAAAACACACACTATCAGTCATGGACTGGCCTCCTCAGAGTCCGGACCACAACATTACCAAAGCACTGTGGGATCATGTTGACAGAGAAGGGAAGAAAAGGAAGTCAACATTCAAAGAAGAGCTTTAAATGTCCTACAAGAAGCATGGAGAACTATTCCTGAAGACTACACAATTAAAGAAATAAAGGTTAAGAGTGTCCAGGCTGTGTTAAAGAATAAATAACACACTGTTCTACCAATAATACTAAGTACTGACTTCCGAGCTCATTAGAATTGTACAAACTCTATTTTTTCCCCTTATATACTGTATTTCTATGTGTGTTTGCACATGCTTCAATAAGTTGCTGAGTCTATTTCGCGTTTTCCTATAAAAATATAAAGTGATTAAGAGTGTCTTAAGACTTTTCACCGTATAGATGTATATTGTATATGTGAATATGGTGACAACAATGCATTCTATTCATAAAAGAAAAAGATAGCACAAAAGTAATACCGGTAACACAATAATGATTTTAAGGTCCATCCAACTGAAAGCAGGACAGAAACAGCAGAAACATGTCAGAAAATATTACCTCATCTTAAATCAACCTTGTCGATGATGAGTCTGCGTTATCGCTTTGGATTTGAGGTGTGACAATACCTCCTCCAGCCATTACGGGTTAGGGGTATTTTATTTTTCAGTTTTAGAAAAAATAAGCAATCAACCAAGCAACAACTTTTCTATTTTCATGACAACGCAGGCAGGCTCGTGTTGGAAAAAGCCAGATATAAAAACTGGTCGCAACCAGTGAAAGCAGAAGATAAAAAACAATGTTCAGGTCCCCCCCCCCTCATTTAAAGAAACAAAGTTCACCAGCTAAGTGAAACATTTACACCACAACTCGATGGAAAACACAATTCTGGTACTGTCTTTGTCACAGCAGGTAGTTATGCTTGTGCCTCTAGTAACCATAATCAGAGACAAAATTGGACCGATTTTTGCTTCTTTTTTGGGGGGGGGGGGCTAGGGATAAGTACCTCTAACCTTCAGACCTTCAGACTATGCAATGGCCTTCAGACTCCCGCCCTTTTATCATATTGGTTAGTTCACAAAGGAGCCTCCCCCTTGATCTGCAGCCAGAATCACACACAAATCCCACAACAGTCTCCAGAGTCTACTCATCCTACACTGTGGACACTCTGCCCACGCACTTACGCTGCAATGTGGTGCAGTCGCATGGCACTCCGTCGGCTCCAGAAGATCGCCGTTACTCCTTTGAACATTACCGGGGGTCTAACAAGCAACATCCAGAGGGAGATGTCAACCCTACGTCGTGTCTACGTCACACGACAGATCCCACCTGAGGGCCTGAAGATCCTCCGCAAATCCGGACAGTGAGTATTTTTTTTGTATCCTGTTATGTCACTTAAAATAACAAATTTTTTTAGCATTTTTATGTAACTACGCGATGTGTGCCGCAGGAGATTTGACAGTGATCACTTTAAGCAGTTTGAATGTCTGGTCTGAGGTTCATCATTTACTTTGAACAAACATGACTGCTAATGTTTGCCTTAAGGTCTCGTCAAATAAAGCACATAGTCTAAAGGGTATTCCCTGAGAAAGAGAACTGCACAAATGTTTCACTGCACCTTAAAATCCCAGGATTTCTATGAAAAGCACTTTGAGATCATGTATCTCTAAGAAGAACCATTATCTGTATATAAATGTGAAACCTGTGCTCATGCATTTGGGATTTTTTTGTTTTTTTCAAAACTGGATTTGATTTAAATCTTCAGTCATGTGATTTCTGTTTCCCTAGGGTGCAGTTTGAGCTGTGGGACTCAGATGACATACCGGTGCCCAGGAAGGAGCTCCTTCAGAAGGTCAAAGGTGTAGATGGTCTGCTTTGCACGCTGACAGAAAAAATTGATGCGGAACTGTTGGACGCTGCAGGTCTGCCCTTTGCCTTTGACAAATAACCTAAATGCAACAAACAGCCTTGCATGTCTTTATATGTGTGATGTATTCCTGCAGGTCCAAACCTGAAGGTCCTCAGTACAATGTCAGTGGGATTCGATCATCTGTCTTTGGATGAGCTGAAGAAACGGTGAGTTCCCTCTTTCTGTTTTATTTTATTGTAACACGTGTGAATGCCGTTCATGGCTCTACTGAGAGTGATCTTCCCTTTATGAAAAAAGGTTCTTAACATGCAAACAGGCAGTGAAATATTCATGTAACGTTGTATGCAATGTTTATGTTCCCCTACAGAGGAATCCGTATAGGTTATACCCCTGAAGTCCTGACAGATGCTGTTGCTGAGTTGACAGTAGCTCTGCTGCTTGCGACCTCCAGGAGGCTCATAGAGGCCACACATGAGGCCAAGACGTACTGTCATATACAAAATAAGATCACACATGTGTGGAAAACTTACTAAAACATACATGCAAAAATGCAAACTGTGCAAAGCAAATTCTCTCTTTCTCTCACTGATGCCAGTGGCGGCTGGGGCACGTGGAGAACGCTGTGGCTGTGTGGTTATGAGCTGGCCAACAGCACTGTCGGTATTCTCGGACTAGGCAGGATCGGTAAGCAGCACGTCACTAAGACAACCTTTACATCAGCGTATCGTCAAACTGCCATTTCTGTCAGTTATGAGCTTTTTACAGTGTGTGATTGTACTCAAAGGTGTGGCCATTGCTGAGCGTCTGGCACCTTTCAAAGTAAGGAAGTTTATCTACACAGATGTGGCCCCCAGGCCTGAGTTGGCGAGTGCCATCAATGCAGAATATGGTAAGGAAGACCCAGCAAGGACGTTACTCTATGATATGTGGACAAAAGATCCCCTGTCAACAGGGCAGATGAGAGGCAGGTTTAAGGGGCTAGTCAAAAGATAAGGCTACTTAAAACCTTTTGACTTTTTATAAGTCTTTCTTGAAGTCCTAAGAGCCATCCACAAACCTAATATGATAAAAGTGATATTAGTGCATCTAGTTTAGTTTTCATCTGATTCCTACCAGCTAAAAAGGTTTGTTTTATTTTAGTTTTCAGTTTATTTTTAATAACCTTGCACTGTATCTTGTTCTAGTCTCTTTTGATGAGCTGGCAAAGCAGTCAGATTTCCTGGCTGTGTGCTGTGCTCTAACACCAGAGACAAAGGAGATCTGCAATAAGAACCTCTTCTCCAAGATGAAAAAGACTTCCATCTTCATCAACACGAGCAGGTATCCCTACCTGATACATGCATGACCAAAGACCCCAAGAGTGGTCTGTGAGTGTTGTGCTCATTAATTACTGATTAACCTGATGTTTAACAGGTTATTTTCCTTCACTGAACCCCATTTAATACACAAAATGCAAGGTAGCGGTTTTAAGAAATGACCATTGTGTTTCCTCAAATCCAAATATTCATATTTGAGATATTAGAATTGCTCGCAGTTTCACAAAATGACCTCCACAGTTGACTAGTTCACTCACAGGAAATTAGAATGACTAATCATTTAACTTCTCGGTGACTTGCATCTGGAGAAATGGATATGTACTGTAGGCAATCAGCAGAGAGGATTCTGCCCTTTGAGTCTATAACTGACTTTGCTGTTGTGCAGAGGCGGGGTGGTGAACCAGGAAGACTTGTATGAAGCTCTGTCCACAGGGCAGATCGCAGGAGCTGGATTAGATGTCACTGTTCCTGAGCCGCTGCCAACCAACCACCCACTGTTTACGCTCAAAAACTGTGGTGGGCATTCTGCTACTTTGAACAGCTTTTGAAATCACACTTGGTCCTCTCTGCCTATCATTAGGTTTTAATATTTTCTCTTCCTGCAGTGATTCTACCCCATATTGCGAGTGCCTCCTATACTACCCGTGATGCTATGTCTTCCCTGGCGGCAAACAACCTCCTCCTGGGCCTGCGAGGGCAGCCGATGATCAAAGAGCTCAAGCTTTAAGAAGAAACAGCTTCCACTCTGAAAAAATGATCAAATAGTGGATGATTAGTTCTACTTACTGTTCAAAATATATTTTGCTGACTGAAGTAAATCCTTGCAGCGTTGCAACTGTCTCCTTTTTCTTTAGTCTTCAGTTTCACATTTTTTTAGTTTGGGATTCTAGAGTGCTGTGAAAAAGTTTTTGCCCCCTTTCTGATTTTCATATTATATGGAAAAAAAGTGATTCAAACCTAGCAGGCGCTGGGTGAAGAAGTGATTGCTCCTATAAACCTACTGGTTTCCCACACTTTGGCAGCAAGAACTGCAAAAAGATTTTTACTCATCTCTGTGGAGGAATTTCGGCTCACTCCTCTTTGCAGAATTGTTATATTTCAGCCACATTGGAGGGTTGGCGCATGAACAACCTGGTTCAGATCATTGTACTGCTGCACAACTGAAGCGTGGGGAAAAGCTGATGGCCGGACATTCTCCTTCAGGATTCAGGATCAAGCCTAAGAAATGGCTCTGTAACTCTTTCCACTCTGATAGGTGTCAGTGACATTGCTTCTCAGCTGCTTGTTGCGTTGCTTTTTGAGAACTTTTAGCCTAGTTAGCTTTGTCAGACAGCTTCCCCAAAAGTGTGGTTAATCACAGTTATCTCTTAATTTAACAAACAAAAAACAATTTTGTATTTACTCAGGTTATTTTGTCTTATGTTAGAATTAGTTTGATGATCTAACACACGTGTGATAAATATTTAAAAATACGAAATTAGGAAGGGGGCCAAGGCTTTTTCACAGCACTGTATATGATAAGAAAGTTGCACACAAACTGAATTTCATAGCATTTTTATTCAGCCTATACAACACCTGAACATACTATACAATCTTCAAAGTCCTCAACAGTAAAGAGACAAACATTTAGCCACCTCATTGTTACACTACGGACGTTATACAGAAAAAAACAAACTAACATCCCCCCAAACCTTTCAATTTTGGCATATCAATAAAAGCTCGGCTTTACAAGCTAGAGGGCATAAGGCAGTGACTTTAATAATCAATTCAGACTTTTATACACATTTCTTTCTAAGAAATCAAACATCTTCATACAGAGGGTAGTTCAGTCAGTGCAGTTTTAATAATAATTTAATAATTAATACAACAGCTGTAGAAGACATCACCTAACCTGCTTGTGTGACATGTAAACAGTCAAACCTTTGCCTGATCCCATATCTACCTTTGTATTTTTCAAAAGCCTGCTACAGCTACCTCACTTCATGACGAGAGAAGAAGCTGAATGTAAGTGAGAGTCAGAGCAACAGACTAAATTTTAGTCAGATTAAAGACTAAACCGTCACTGGTCATTTAAATGACTTTAATAGAGTTCTGAATTAAATTTACAGGGAAAATAACTTTAAATAACTTTTTTTTTCCTTTTTAAAAAGTGTCATTTTGTAAAGGGCTAACAGTGTGATGACTCTACAGTACAATAAGGTGCCAACTAGGATTGAAAGCAATGATCCTGTCTCACTGACAGCTCAAGTGTCACAATACACCAATCATTAAAGTATACAAAAAGCAAACATGTTAATTAATGTGTGATTTTTTTCCATTCCAGTTCACTAAAACAGAACTCTACAACACAGCATGAACACTGTTTCAAAAAACATACTGCCATCCAGAGGCTGTTTTTCAACCTGCAGGATGTCTGCTAGCAGAAAACCTTCATGTGATATTATTTTTGTAAATCCTGTCTATATTTTTTTTAAGCGTACACATCCTCAGCTGTAACATAGTTGTCTTGTAACTTACAGCATTCCCCAACATTTATCAAGTTACATTAAAATACAACTACATAAAACACAAAATTTCTTGTAATTAACAAAAAATGAAAACATTAAAATCTTGTTTTTTAAAATTACTTTCTCCATGTGAAATATTCCTTTAGTGATGTTACATTTTTCTAGACTAGTGGAACTTTGTTTTCATTTCCAGCACAACAGAATAACAAAGGAAGAAGGAAGATCATAAGAGCTGGGTGAGCCGGATGGTTGGATTACAATGAAGATGTCGTCACATAGTTCAACGTTCCAGTAAACATTATTAGCTGTAAAAAAAAGACTGATTTGTCTCAGTGTTTTTGTATCAGGCGCAACATTATATGTAAAGAGACACGTATAAAGCACTCATATCAAGTACAGTAGCAAACAGACACGCAATGTTTACATCTTTAGGAGTTGTTTTGTCTCCTCTCCAAAAGACTTACCAGAAATGTGCAATACAGTATTTACATGTCTAAATATTTTTTTCCCTCCAACACATGCTGAACTCGTCACTGAAACTTCGCCGTTCTTTCAATAAACGCACAACACCGAGGAGCTATGGCTGAAAGTCATGTAGTGCCATATCTTTTACAATCACAGTACACTGTTTTATGAAATTAGACAGAAAAATGCTTTTGTTTTTTTAAACCTTTCTCCTGATTGCCGTAATAGTTTTACTTCAGTAAACAATGAAACTTCACTCTAAGGTAAACAGTTGTGGTGGAAGGGTAATCAGGCTAATTCATAATTTTCCCCCTACAAGTATAAATGTTTTAAAGTGAGGCTGTTACTCTTGCAGACATATGCCACATGAAGGCCTCCATGAGTACATTTTGAATTATTTGGCCTTTAACCAAAAATATTTTCAACATTAAAATGAGCTCAGCAACAAACTGAAAATCAACCACAGACGACGATCATGTCACGTTAATTTGACTTGAATTAGTCCACTGCTCGATTCCTCATGATGACTATTAATTAACAAAGTACTGATGACATTTCACCGCATGACAGAATAAAAACACTGTTACAACACTACATACTCTGTCGCCTTCTCAGCTGGTTAAACTGTTAAAATGCTACAGATTTCAGCATTACCCAGGTCTCTCCCACACACTGGATTATCTCCACCGTTTTTGCTTGCATCTAATAAACCATTAGATTTTAGCACTTACACGCATAATGGCGACCAACGTGGATGAATGTGAATGGATGTGACTGCCCGTGCACAGAACAAGGCACAGTCAATAATGTCAGCTGCTACATGTTTTTACAATTATGCACTGAATATGAATTTAAATACAATATTTTACATGATGTCAGTCTTTAGTGCTGATGTTGCACAGCTGCCTCTGAGTGTTGCAATGACTGAATCTAATTTAATTCCAAGTGTACCACTAACAATGAATCGCCACTAAAGGATCACCTCATGCTCATCTTGAAGTTTCATAATGGGAGTTCACAAACCAAAGGGTGATGTCACAGCAGCTATGTCCATCTTTTATGCTGTGTTATGCTCACAAAATTGTTAAAATATGTTTTTTTCCTTTTTTAATTTTCATATATTGGCCATTATCAATGCCAAATGGTAATTTGCTGATATATCGGCCTGCAGACAAATCAGTCAGGCTCTAATACAGTAAAGTTTAAAGGGTGCACTTTGACACTTTGCAATTAATTAACATAAATAAATATGCTAATTTTGCATGTCCTACATCCCTAAAATCTTTCTATGGGGTTAATTTTTTAACAGAAACTTTATCAACTGGTCCTGGAGAAGATCACGTTATATATTTATATTAAGTTACATTTTCATCCCCATCTTTGGTCTGTGATCAGGATCAGTTAGTTTAGACAGAGCGGATAACAAAACTGGCCGTTCAGTCAGAGCTTCAGAAACATTTTTATAACAGCTTTGTGACTTTAAAGGCAGCTACACTGATTCCTAGTGTTTTAATCTCCACACTCTGCTCCTACAGCAAGCCATTGGACATGTTACTGTTCTGCCAGCGCAGACAGGTGGTCTTGGAATGCTTGTATAGGTGTGACGACTGGCTGAAGCGTTTTCCACACTTCAGACATGCGTAGGGTTTCTCTCCCGTGTGGACACGGATGTGTTTCTTGCAGTCAGTCAGGGTGAGGAAGGTTTTGCAGCAGATTTTGCAGGCGTATTTTCGTGCCCCTTCAACCACTAGGACATTGTGCTCTGAGAGAGCCTTTTTGCACTTGGACAGAACGTCTGCTGAGGCCCGGGTGAGCTGAGGGGGGAGGGAGGTGGGCCTGTTGCCACTCATCTCATACCCCCCGTTCTCATTGAGGAGCAGGGGACCCGCTAGACTTGAGGAAGAAGAGGCAGCATCCTGAAGAATCCCCCCGACTGCCTCTTCTCCTCCCATGCCAGTGGTCATTTTTGGAGCAATGCGTCTGTAGCCTGGATAACTCAGACCTGTGCCGCTGGCTCCTCCTGTCTCTCTTGAGGGCCGTCCCAGTGAATGAAGCCCCAAACTTGAGCGCTGGAATTCTAAATCAAAAGGATCCACTCCTCCACGTCCTCCTCTTGAATTTCCCCCATTTCCTCTGGGGCTTCCTAAACCATCATGCAGGGGGCGGAGGAACAGAGAATCGGCTTGCAGATTATCTCCAAAACTGCTTCTACTCTCACCACTGAGTGGGCCTGATTGCAAAAGAGAGGAAGAAGCAGAGCTCGAAGTCCCAGCAGCTTCCTGCCTCAGCAGAAAGCGATGTGCTACTGCATCCCCAGTTGTTGTGTTCGGAAGGTCGTCCTCTCCAGCAACCATCCCCGAGCTGCCAGTCGCAAAATCCTTTTGGCTGAGGAAGCTGGAAATGCTGAAACCAGGTTTGCCACTCAGTCCATTATTACACCCAAAACCTCCGTTCGCACCTCCTCCTCCTATACTGCCCTTGAGGATGAGCTGAGAGCTGGGCTGGAGAAGAGAGTCGGAGCTGGGCTGGGGTTCAGAAGTGAAGCTGCGGTCGCTGCTTTCTGGGCTCAGCTCCACCTTCTCTTCGTCCTCCTGGCACCCAGGCTCGGGGCGATCACTGCCTTCGGCCTGCGATGTGACGTCGCTAATTTCATCAGCTGGCTCGGGCGAACTTAGCGGCTCACGTTTAACAACCACCTAAGAAAAGCAAGAAAAGGAAAGAAATGTTTCATCTAAGGCCAAGGGAGATAAGACCTCAAATTTTAATGTAAGAATTAATATTCACAACACTGGCTAAAGGTCTCACAGTTGGACAGAATTTTATTGTGGAAAGACTTCTCACAGAAACCTCAGAGCCAGCTCCCAAATGGGTAACACCAGATGCTCTAAAATAATCTCTTGAACAAGCCTGCTTTGCCTTACTAAGACGTTTTATTTTTTCTAGCATGTCCTTTCGAAATAAAGAATTAACATCCAACCATTTCCCCATTCTTCTGTCACAGTGCGTTGCTACTTTGTTGACCTGTGTCGTCTTAGCAGCTGTAACAGTAATTTGCAGGTTCAGGGTGGATTAAGCCATGGTGATAAATTCCTCTACAGGGAGTGCAGAATTATTAGGCAAGTTGTATTTTTGAGGAATAATTTTATTATTGAACAACAACCATGTTCTCAATGAACCCAAAAAACTCATTAA